GTTGGCATTGCTTTTAGGCTGGAGGTTCCAGGTCCTCGTTATCAAATCTGCGCGAAGAAGTGATACTCCCTCGATTTGTTGATACCTCAGTCAAGCATCGTCTGAGTCCTTGTCCAAACGACGTCTAATTCCTCATTCAGGGGAAGAGACGATATCATGGAAAGATTTTACCATGCGTTCTTCGGAATTAAGTTGGCAGTTGCTTCAAATGCTTCGATTAGAATTTCACTTTCTGCATTAATAATGAAAAACAAGGTGAATTGTGTTTTCTGTAATGCCACTGTGTGGCTAGGGAAACAGAGAATTACGTGCCACGCATGTAATACTGCTGGAGATATTGTCTTCGTTGCACCATATGCTAAATGATTAAGGATGCTACCCCAGAATGGTTTCCGTAACGTCGGTGACTATTTAATACGTTTTTTCCTCCAGAGGGTTACGCCACGGGAAGATCTGAACCACTCCCGATTATATATAGACACACGGTCAAAGAAGAGCACCAATCACGTAATTATAACCGCTGAAATTTGGCCTGAAAATCGTTCATCAAATGGTAACGAGGCTCAACACACAGTGACATTCAATAACACGTCTATTAGGAAAATAGAACGAACGGTCAGGAATGTGAGGCTGCCTTGCATCGATTTAAAAAGCGGCATTAAATACAACCTCACCGTAAGTTTTTTTTTAAACTCTGCTGACATTGCATCAAGATATCTACATCAGTTGCTCAGATACACGGCATTAAGATTATTTTTTTGGATTAGTTGCAATTTGGCGCAGAGATGCTGATTCCTTCAACAATAGAATTTGTAATGAATTTATAAAGACCTTCAATTAGAGCTTATATTTTCATTATATTAAATAGACCGCCGAGCACATACCTATTTGAATTAACGATATTCAATAGCTACCCTAAGAACCGAATTGGATCAGTTTTCACTCTTTAAGTTTACCTAGATAATTTAATAAGGTTTAAAACAAACGTAATGAGCAAATGCATTTTTTTGATTCCGTATGCTACTGTTTTGGCACTCATGTCCTTTACTAAGGTTTTTACTCATTTTTCTCATTTATTTGTCTTCTAGAAATTATAACCATATGCATAAATGATTCATCCCTCTCTCAATTTTGTTGTGCAAGCATATAAAGACGCTCTCTATGTGTACACAAAGAACCTAATGAAGTACTGGAAGAAAGTAATGTAAGTTTATGCGATCTTCATACGGATGATGACAAACGGGTTGCATATGAATGAAGCTTAGGAAGCTCTTATCTACTACTCACTTCATGATATTTCGAACTCGTCTTGCTGTGCCACAACGTAGTTATATTTGTATGTTTAAAATATGAGTATTCATGTCAGAGATCTCATATCGCGCTACATATTTATCATGCATCAGCCACAACCACGAGTCAAGTAATTAAAACGATCTAATCAAATCACATGATCATAATACCATTCATCCGCTTTTGATGCCCTTCATTCATTCGCTTGCTTCCTCAGTCACGTGTTCATCCACTCACGCAAGCATTGATTCGATGATTCATCCATTCCTTCGTCTATTCATTCATTTACACATTGGTTTGTTCATTCATTCGTTCGTATATTCGCGCATGCATTCATTCATTAGTCGACAACGTATAGTAGACTAAACTTGAATAGTCAAAGAAGAATCCGCCTATCGTACAGAAAAGTGGTACGCTATACCAAAAGCGCGAGACTAACCATTTTGCATATTCATATCCATGAAGAGAAATCAACGCAACCACATCGAGGCTGCCGAACGGCATGAACAGACCAAAGTCTCGATAAGTTCCTTTCTTTCTTATTACGAAAGCATATTTGTATCACAGGACCGTGGAAGCCCATGGTTTCCGCAGTTTTCATTGGTGTGGTTCATAAAACTGTTTTTTCGTTTCTGTACATATACGCTGGGTTTCAGCGGTAAAAATTAATCGTCTGAATTTTGTCATGAGGTACGATTTTTGAGACCAGGCTTAAGTTCCTATTTGGATACCAGTCAAGAGAAGAGAAGACTATTTTCTGTTGATTGACAGGGCCAACAATGCTGACATCAAAAAGATTGGTATTCGTGACTAGAAGAAATTCAATTATCCTTTCGAGTGTTCGCTCCCAAATTTTTTGCTAAGACGTTGAATCCTATGATCGGGGAAAAGTTCTATACAATCGACCATAAGTCGAGGGTATTGGCTTCGATTCAAGAGGAAAAAAACGGAAGTCCCACATTGGCGCTTTCGTAATGAGGAATGTAGCTATTCTTCGGTAAGTGTCCAGCGTTGAATGAATCCAACGTACAGAGAAACTGACTTTACGTTATGCACATACAAAGAGATAGAGCTGACCATGGTATATTATGAACAGCCGATGCTGCAAGTGTCCCCCCTCTCTGTGCTAATTAAATATTTACAATAAGGACTCCATTTTCGATCCCATTACCAAACACATCACCAATCAGAGCAACCGCGGTACTCAAGCTTTACTAACTTCAAATGACATTCACGTGAGCAGAAGTCTTATCCATACTATAAATTCCTTCTCAGCACAAATCACGAACCGGATTCCTGTCGAAGCTTCTGTTCCAAACCTAGGAAATCACAACAACATCCACAGATCTGATACGTGGTTCACATCGTTCCAAATTTTTGTTCAGATTTAATATAAATCAATTGCGTCTGCAATTCATAATTTAATCGGTCAGCCAGTTTCGATGACCGGTTATACTTTTGGGTTGCAGAAGCAGGTGCTCAAGACAGTAACTCCAACATTCCTGATCCTGCAATAACGTCTGTCCTTCGGCAGAAAACAACCTGAATCCTCAGCAGAGACCCTCGAGACTCTGCCTCCCCCCGGTTATTTTTGGCTGTCCCCTGGATCTTTGG